TTGTTTGCTTACTGCACTCATAGAAGGGGTACTGAAGGGCAGGCCAGCCCTATGGGAGAGACGAGTACCGGACGTCTATAAATAAACACCGGCTGGGAAAACCATTGGCTGTGATCGTCGTCCTGCTGCGACGTAAAATAATTCTTGATGACACTTGGGGGCAGTCGTTAAATTGCCTCTGGATCAGCCAATTGGTGTAAGGCTCGCTGCACGCGAGGATAAACACAGTGCAGGGCTGGCCAGCTCAGCAGCTACTCGGGGCACAGGGGTGGGCCGTGTGCACACCTTTAGTCACGCAAGCCAAACCGGGTTGCTCAGGGACGGTAACGTCAAGTGACAATCAAGGGGAATTGGGGAAGGGGTAGATTCCAGGAGATAAGTTTGAGTAAGATCCCATGCTGCAAACAGACCCAACAAATGATCTAATTTTTATTTTGATTAGTTAGATGTACTGCTATTGACATCTGACAGACAACATAGTTTAAAACTGATTTTGTTCATTGTGCTTTCTGTTTGCGAGCTAGTCAAAGTAGAATAGTATCATTTGTAGGAATCTGAACTTATCTGTTGATCCCAAATGTATCTACTCCGAAAAAGTCACCAATTAATTATTTATTTATTTTAAATTGGTCTGGGCATTACACTGTAGTAGGCACCCAGATAGTCTAGTGCAGATTGTGCCCAGTACTGTAGCTTATGAGCGACAGGGAAGAACAGCAACCGGATGACCGGCTCTTGCAATCAGCTAGACGCCCGATTGCCCATTTGGCATTAGGACCAGAGGGTGACAGATGTCTGCTCCGCCAGCTTAGGGAGAGGCAGCAGCAGTAGAGGAGAGCTAGAGCAGCAGAGGCTAGCAGGGTGCTCGTAAGCGAAGCTGCAGTTTCGGAAGACATGGCCACTTCTGCACAGCAGAGTTCTCAGGCTGGTAATTCAGGATCTGTAGGGTCAACTGCTGCGCAGACCCAGAGTCAGTCGGCTGGAGTTATGGCAAGCCAGCTTGGGGCATTATCTTGACAAAATTTGAATTAAAAAAAGAAAATTGAGAGAAAAAACGAAAGGGAGCTGGTCGGTTTTCTTTTGGGCCATAAATATGAGATTCACCTTCCGTTCGTGGATTCACCTTCAGTTGCATGCGGCCCCCTTGGTTATTATCCTTTGACCCTTGTCCTTTTATGTCGTGCATCCAAATGACAAATTTATTATGAGCTGCAGTCGATAGGGGGGAAAATGATTTCTAGGGGGTTGGGGTGTGGGAGGGGTGTTGAGGGAGGAGTGGGTGGGGGGGCATTGTGCTCTCCACAAAGGGTTTGATCCACTGGTCAGCAGGTGGCCATACGCCTTGTCACAAGTTGAAGGTTGATTGGTCGAGTCCTGCAACCTGCAATTTGCAATAATGTATATGGCAACCCGTTTATCTCGCGAGACCCTTACCCTTTTTTGTTGATTGGTTAAGCTCGAAGTAGCCACATGCCCGTTCATCCTCTGCTTGTTATAAGCCCTTCTTGTCGACCATGCTGGCTGGTAAATTGGTCACCACGGTATTACAGACCGTGCTAAAAGTTGCAGGTTGATGGGTCGAGTCCTTTAACCTGCAATGACTAGCATGTAACAACTTGTTCATCTTGGCGGATACTTGCCTTTTTTGGCCAAACTTTCGGACGTGTACTTCATTGTGAATGTGTATCACTTTTCTTCGTATTTGTGTAGTTATTCTCATTTCGATTTTACCTTCATAGTGAATGTATCATTTCATTCTCATTTATTTCACTCCTTACTTCATATCATCCACGACGATTTTACCTTCATTAAAAAAGTGAAAAAAAAAGGGTTCACTTTTAACGAAATGTGAGCACAGACACACACACACACACACACACACACACACACACACACACACACACACACATACTCAACTAAACACCATAAAAGATTATTAAAGAAATCTGGAAAATTAGTAACAAAACATTAAAATGAAATAATAAATAAATAATAATAAATAGTAAAATAAATATGTTTTTTTTTTAAAAGAAAAAAATATATAATAAATAAATAAGATATATATATAAAATAATAAATAAATTATATATATATATAAACGATATATATAAAATAATAAATAAATAAGAAAGAAAATAAGTATAATATAAAATAATCAAAAGGGTTAAATAAATAAATAAATAAATAAAAATATAAATAAAAAAAAATTAAAAAAATAATAAAGTAAAAAATTATAATAAATAAATAAATAAAATAATTAAACCTACTTTTTAATAAATAATTAATTAAAATAAAAAATAAAATAAATAAATAATAAAATAAATAATAAATAATAAATAATAAATAGGTAAATTAATAAGTAAACAAACAATACAAATAAATAAATAATGAAAATTAATAAGTTAAATTCAAAATTAAATATAAAAAAAACAAAATAATAAATGAACTAAAATACAAATATGCATAGCAAAAATAATAAAGTAAGAATATAACCAAGCTATTAGACTTTTTTTAAACCCCCGCCCCTTGAAACACAGGTACGAGCAAATGACTGCCTGCAAACCTAAGAGTCAATCCACCGATAACTTAACCAACGCCTCATAGTACAACTCCACCAGGCTCTGGTATGTATAACACAAATCTATGACAAACAAACCAATTATGGGTCACCAACTTCCTATTGATAAAAATGTAAAGATAGAAAAATAATAACAAATGAAGAAACAAAATACGATTTTTTTAAAAAAAAACAGCAAAAACCTTATTTGCTCATATGTCACGGCCATCCCGAAACGGCGCGACTGACACACAAAAATACAAACACACGCACGAGGAAGAAAAGGAAGGTACAAAAAGCGATTACCGCCATAACCACTTACGACGGAAAACACCTGACTGTTATGCACTAAGAAACAAGCTGCATACGATGACATTAAATCCATGAAGTATACAGATACAACAACGCCGGCACAGCCATAGTATATCCCATTTTTCCTACGAAGCAAAGCTACCCACTACAAGATGGCCTCCAACCTATTCGAACCTCATAACAGGCATGCCCCTAGTAAGCTCCCCGCTTCCTTTTTCCCCCCCCTCTCAGAGTTCGAGCATACCTCCAGGTGACGCACCACCTCGGAACGTCACTACAGGACAAGCACACGTGCAACACGGCACAACACCTCCATAGCCTGTCTCCCACCAAATAACCCCAAGCACTACAAGACAATAAACAAAAAAGCAGCGTCAACCTGACCTTGCCTGCTCACATAACATACATCGTCAACCCCAACCCCGCCAACAAATTACGTAAGAAAATTTCCTTCTTCCTGACCTGGTTTTCTCCCATCCCTATCTCTACTATCTCCATACCAGCTTACCCGCTCTCCCACCCCAATCACCAACAATGTGTTTAAACCACACACCCTACGCTCTTCCCTACCCCAGTAATTACCCCTTAAATAACACCCCACGAATTTACCAACTACGCAAAGCACCCATGGCATACACAGCGCTACCAACGACCATGCCATAGATGGCACACGCAACTTCGCTACTTATACTCCTTGCTACTTGCCATACCATCAACACCGGCACTCTGCTTCATGTTGCATGACGCCTCTCCATCCATATCTTCCCTACTTGAGCAGATCTGCTCTAGTACTGATCCTGGTTCATAGGAACAGTCTGGCGGATTACGGTGTCTTGGGCAATCCGCTTACGACATAAGCTTTCTGATACCACGCTACGATACGATCTTCGTGCGATGGCGGGGACTGACTCTGCAGCGACACCAGCCATGACAGCCCAGGTACGAACTCACTAAAACACGTAACTCTGTTCTACCTTGGAACCTATGACTCTCTGCTTACCTTTCCACCATCCCCCACCCCGAATACTAACAGAAGCCTTTACTAATTCTAATCCCTCTGATGAGCTGCTATGGGTGCTAAGCGGCGAAAAGCGCGCTTTAGGGCGTGCACCCCCCCTACGGTTGGGCTTCTTGCCCTCTCCTAACCCCTAACATACTAACATACTAATTGTTGCTCCTCTGTTAGCTATGACCCCTAACCTCGACTAACTATGTAACGTACGTCATCCATGGCTAAAAATAAGCTATGCACTAATGGATACTCTTGGGTACTGTCTTGTTTCCCACATTACGTGGGATGGCTGTGTTACGTACACAACCACCCCCCCCCACACACACACACATACACACACACACACACACACGCACGCGCACACATACAACACCTTCAGGTTTGAGACAAGACTGTCACCAACTACTTACAAGTTACAATGCAAGATTTACAGCCTTCCCAACAGATAATCCTGAACCAAGACCTGGAACACAAAGGCATGCTATTGGAAGCCTTCCTTGTAAGAAAGATGAGGGTATGGTGGTCAAAAGAAAGAGATCACATGACTCCAAATATAATAGTTACTTTAATTGAATATACAGTGATACTCGGATGTCAACTACGTTCTTCACACGAATACAGCAATAATGACCTTACGTTGTAATCGGGTGAAGAAGGTAGGCCTAAGAACTTGAGTCATCGATTTAGGTATCAACCCCATTAGGGGAATACACAGCCAAATTCGGGTATCAACTACCTTCTTTCCCCAAATAAAACATATGGTCATTATAGCTGTATTTGGGGCAGCTTTCAGTCTAGGTATACGCTCTATTCGGGTATCAACTAGGCCCATTTCACTGGTCCTTTGTCTTTGACTCTTTGGTACTTTAAGCTGATACCGAAAGGACTCGGACAACTGCCCCACTGCAACCACTGCAACTCTTAGAACTCTTTGACTCTTTGGTACTTCGGTGGGATGATACGGAAATAACGCCCCTACTGCAACCACTGCAACAATGATTTGGAGGGGGCGAAGGGAAAGTGTGGCGAAAAGATGCAATTGGGAGAGAGAAAGGTATTGGGAATGGATGCTGAAACTTGAAGAGAAAACTGCCTGCTGACACGTGAAAAAATACTCACCCGATGTAAGTCTGTAAGTCTGGATCTGAGATAGAGAGTCCAGTAATAGGTACGCCTTTCGATTGCCAATCACTGGACAAATTTGCTTGCCGTTGAGCCACAGGAAAAACACTTGTTGCTTGTTCGGGTGCTAGGTCCAACAGTGACCCGGGAGGATGAGTTACACGTTCAGGAGAGGGGTGTGGAGAAGGGTACGGAGTCAACAGACTCAACTGAGCTGAAGAGTACGAAGCTGATGGATAAGATGGCTGCAGTAGCATTTCAGGTGGCAGCTGTGTCATTATCTGGGGTAGGAACTGAGGTGTCACCTGAGGTACAAGCTGAGGGGTCAGTTCAGGGGTCAGTTCAGGGGTCAGTTCGGGGGTCAGCTCAGGGGTCATCTGAGGGGTCGACTGAGGGGTCGGCTGAGGGGTCAGCGGAGGGGTCAGCGGAGGGGTCAGCGGAGGGGTCAGCGGAGGGGTCGCCTGGGGGTTCAGCTGAGGGGACCATGTCTGTGGTACTTGCTCCTCAAGGAGCTCAGGCTCTCCATCCTGTGGAGGGGTCAATTGAACCTCCTGTTCAGGCAGAAGGCCAATTTGAGTTTCAGTTGGGGCCAATGATGGAAGCTTACGTTTGATGGAAGCTGCATCAGAGAATGATTTTGGTCTCTCGCGTATCGCACTCACAGAATGGGCCTCCAGAGGCTGAATGGCTTGCTGAGTTGTCGGTTCGTTACGAGAATCTGAGACGCCCGGGAAGGCAGCAACAGCACCTTTGGTTGTGATGTTGATGCTGATCGATGTGGGAGCCATAATGATGGGAGGATCATTGGTTGGTAGCACCATCAGATACATCTGCCTAACATCACCTGCACCGGAGCTGTCCTTCACAGACAGCGTGATGGAATCCTCACCATTGTAATACCAGGCACTGCAAAAAACCAGTTTTTTTTTCACAATCATACAGCGAGGCAAAATGAGATGTCCAAAGCTGCCGTTATAGTGAATCAAGGACAAGCAGAAGAAGATGGGACGGAAACGGAGGAGGTTGAGTAGACAAGTAGGAGCCGTAGGATGAGGGGCAGCAGCAGCGGCAGCACCAGAGGAGAGAGAGGAGGAGGAGAGAAGGAGGGAAGGAGGGAAGGAGGAGGAGGAGCGAGTAGAGTAGAAGCAGGAACAGCAGGAGCAGGGGGGGGAGGAGGAGGATAAGGAGCGAGGAGAGTAGAAGCAGGAGCAGCTGGTGCAGGAGGAGGAGGAGGAGGAAGAGGAGGAGCAGTAGGAGGACGAGCAGGAGCAGGAGGAGGAGGAGGAGGAGGAGGGGGAGGAGGAGCAATGACACCAAGCAAAAGCAGCGGTTGTGGCATTGGTGGCCATGGCAGATGTAGCGGTGACAGCAGTGGAAACGACGACAGCAGCAGCAGTAGCACGGTCAAAGTTCAACTAAAGAACATAAGTGGTAATCCAAATAACAAACAACAGAAGAGGAACATGCAATCCGAATAACAAACAAGAGAAAAACAACATGCGTAATTCCTACACTATAAGCATTTCTGATTGCTGCTTGGGTTCAGAGTTCTATTGGGTCCGGCACTTTTCTAGCAGTGGGGTTCACGTGTGTGCTATATATACGATACCTCGTAAGCATTCTATGCATGACCAATCTCGTTCATTCATTCATTGATTGTCATCTCTTTCATTTCCTTTGTCCGTTTTCTTGCTTTTCCTGTCTTTTCTATTTCCTTTATTTTCATTGAGTGGTTAAGCAGATACATTCTCATTCGACGTGCTCTTAGAAAAGAAAAGAAAAGAAAAGAAAAGAAAGAAATGATATCCCTTTCATTGAGTGGTTAAGCAGACATTCTCATTTGACTTGCTCTTAGAAAAGAAAAGAAAAGGAAAGAAAAAGAACATATCCCTCAATTGCAAAATGCAAAACTTTCTACACCCTACGGAACCAATCTTGAATGTGGGGACCCCCATCAGAAGGCTGCCTTCAGTGCTGTGAGTATGCCCTGATGAAAAAGGCTCATTCAGATCCTTATTGCTTGTCCAGAGGAAACTGCAACTGTATTTCTGCCTGAGAATTTGTCTACCAATGACAGGGAACCTACACGGCTATAAATGTAATTTAAATTTTAATTCTGAAACAGAAATTTTGCTTAAACCACCCGTTCACACGAGGCTAAGTCGATGAAGCTGCCTTCCAAGGCTCGCGAACCTCCGACTGCACCTTTCTAAAGTGGCCTGCCACTTCGCAATAACTCGGCTGAAATCTGCATAAGCTGAGGGCTCTAGGTCGTCACTTTTGGTCAAAGGCCCGAAACAGGCGTCAAAAGCCACGCCATAAGTCTAAGAAACGCCTGGGCAAAGGCCTGAGGCCAAGCGGTACCCAGGGCAGGGCCAGAATCAGCATTCAGAGGCCCTACAAGGAACAGTTGACTTTGAGAAAGCCAACAGTCAACCTCAGCACGGGAATCCAGGCCCAGACGTCAAAGTCAACCCGCTGGTCAGCCACGGTCGTAGATCAGATGCACACCGTTGGTTGTCTGCAGGTATCCAGAAGAATCCGGTCCATGTGGGACACATGGGGAATCTGCAACTCCGCAGCATCCAGGCCATTGGCTTCCGATTGATCTGGGCCGTCGACCCCAGGAAACCAGAGGCCGGTCAACGTGAGTCAAGACTATAAGCTGACCCAGCCCCTGCTTGGAGAGTATTCTGCATTGTGCATTCTGCCTTGTGCTGGCTTTTTGCTGGTGCGACAACGCAAGGCTGCTGGAGATTTATGCTGAGGCCAGATTCTGAGTGTGGGCGCCAGCCTTGAGGGAGATTATGCTGACGTGGCACAAGTCTTAGTTGGCTCAATGACGCTGGCGCCCACACTTAGAATCTGGCCTCATTGATTTCGACATTGATAGGAGTGTGGGCATGGAAGGAGGAGTATCTGGACTGTGAGATTGGTGTGTGTGATGAGGAGAAGCTCACCTGGACTTACCTGCGACGTCGTGTGCGCTTTGCTGCTTGTCTCCAAGAGGAAGATCTGTGCCATCCTCCTTGATTGCTGCTGATGTGGATGGAGGATGGGCGCCCTGTTGTGACCTGTTAGTTGTATATGTCAGTGATCGTCAGAGGAGAACTGTATTGCTGACGTCGCGAGTGAGGGAGATGCCCGAGGAGGAAGTGGGCTTGAAGAGGGACTTCTGCTTCGTTGATTCTTGTGGAAACTCTCCTCCTCCTCCTCTCAGTCTGTTCTCCCCCTCTCCTCACTCTCTTCTCTGAGTTTGAGACATTGAGAGACTACATGTACATCGGGCATGCTTTCATAAATGATTTTTGGAGAAATTAATGCTGCGCTGAGTCAGACTTGTATTTCGACATTCATGAGCTTCTCATTTGTCTAGGTTCATTGCAATTTGGTATCAGAGCGATATCTTTCTTCCTCGCCATCTGCTGGTTGAGACATTGTGCGCGACTCTGATGATGATGATGATGATGACGAGGATCTGAAGTGTCAGCCGTGGAGGAGAAGAGTGGCATCGTTTATTCTCATCGTTGCTTGATAACTCACCGGATGGCTGGTGTATCCAGTGCCAGTTGGCGAGAGAATTGTTGACGTGGCACTGGGCAAGAGACTGGCAAGAGTGTGCTGACGTGGAAGGGGGAGGAGACAAGGCACTTACCTGCTGACGTGGACATTCCTTCGGCGCTGACGGTGGTAGCGGCTTGCAAACGTGGCATGCTTGATAGCATTACTCCTCCTGAGCTGTTTTTTGCTGAGATGGCCTGCTGCCTATTTTGTTGGCTGCATATGGGTGCTGGCGTGGCACAAGTCTTAGTTGGCTCAATGACGCTGACGTGGCATAAGTCTTGGTGATATGCCACAGAGGCTTCGCTGATGTGGAGCACGTGGTGTCACTAACGTGACAAACAGCAAAGCAGAAAAAGAGACTGGTGTGGACAATACCTTGCACGTGTGTGACATGTCTGGTCACACAGCTATCTGCAAGAAGACAACAAAGGAGAGCAGCTAACACTTGTTTGTTTATGGAGTGTGCTAATTTGGCTTTGTGTACTTAGCTATCGTGGGTTCTCTTGTGGATGGTTGCGGACTCACCATTGTGTATGTTGTCTTGATCTCACTGACCGTGGCTCCAAAATATATCATGTTCGTACCTGCAAGTTCCAGAAAATTGATGTTTCGCCAAAATGATCACATTTTGTGTTGTCGCCAGAATGTACGTGTGCTTGTGATGGATTGACCCTTGGTATATGGCTCATGCAAGACCTCCAAAATGGGTGGCATTTTTTTTATGGACTCCAAAAAAATTTAGTAGTTCTGTAAGTTGTTCCCCTAAATACATAATGTCCGAAGGGTGTAACACTCTAAGTGTCCTACCAGAATCTTTGTGTGACATTTAGTGTTGCACGCTGGAAAGTATCCTCCCCCCCCCCATGCATCGCAATTGTCAGGGTTAGTGTGCGCAAGGTCCATATATACGGAATAATTCCAAAGTTTGAAATTGGCTCCTCCATATTTGCCGACAGACATTTCTATCCCTTTTAGAGCGAGTCCTCACCTCTTCCGACGACGACAGTGTGCGAAAGTATCTGCGAATTAATTCGTAGTTTAAGATTCCCTCCTCTACCTTTCCTCGCAGGAATTTATGACCCTTTTACAGCGCCTCCTCACCTCTTACGCCGCTTAGAGCACCTCCTCACCTCTTACGTGTACCACTTGTAAATTCAGAAGCCACTTAAAATATCTGCCGGTTGATGGAGTCAGCAGGCCTCCTCACCTCTTACGCCGCTTGGAGCACCTCCTCACCGCTTATTTTTTAGATGCCGCTCACCTAGAAAATAACCAAAAATGCGGAATGTGATTTCCAGGGGCGGGGTTGGTGGAGGGGAGGGTCGGCAGCTGTCATAGGCCCTGTTACAAGTTGCCGGTGGATAGGAGAACTCAAGCAAACCTGTAGACTAAGTTTAGTCCAAGTTGCTGAGCGGCCGCTCCAAAAGGCTTAGCCTACCTCGAAAAGGGGGTTGGTGTGTTGGGGGGGGGCAGGGGGCGGGGGAGGCGGAAGGTCAGTATGTATCATAGGCCCCGAAAGAAGTTGCAGGTTGATGAGTCGAGTACTCCAATGACACTGCCATTTTTTGTTGCATAGAACTTAAAAAACAACACTTAGCAATGAATGTATCGATTTATGCTTATTTATATCGCTCCTTAGTTCATATTGACAACATGAGTTTTGGCTTCATTGCAAAAAGTGAACTTGCAAAAAGTGAACAATCAAGAGGTTCACTTTTAACGAACTGTGTATTACAGTCTCTTCGAGTAAAACATCATCAGTCCAAAAAATAGCAGTAGAATACTCGACCTGACCGGAGAAAACCGTAGCAGGAAGCTAGCGAAGTCGTAGTATATATCGTCAAATAGAACTGCCCGGTAAACCGTAGGCAGAGAGGGAGAAGAGGACAACAAACGAGGGGCTGTGACAAACTGTTTCGTCGGAGTTTCAC